GAAATGCTGCTGAAGTAAAAGAAACACGCTTGGCTTACAAGGGCGAGGAATTTAATAGAGAAACAAGGCTAGGAGACATCTGCATCCCAAGGAGCTTTTTGCAATTTCATGTTATAGAAGACAAATTTTATTATCATTCTCCTTTAAATTGAACAATTGATCCTCATGGTCCAAATGGTGAATCTGTTTTTAATAAATGATTGAATTAACTGTAAGAGTACTCATTAAAATGCAATACTGCAGCTATCAGTGGAAGAATATATTATAAAATTTTCAGCCAGTGTATCAGAAACAAAATGTTTTTATTTGTTCTAGAAAGAAAAAGTCATTTTGCTGTCAACTGCGGACTTTCTGTTGAAGACTTTTTAATCACTTTGCTTTTAAAATTCCGTATGAAACTGTTTGAAGTTTAATAAAATCTTTTAGTAAAAGAAATGGATACTTACATATATGCCGAACAGAGCTCTCCGAGTGGGAGATGAAGGACACATCCTGACACCTGTCTGTTTGGGGGATTTGGTCCTTGTGTGACCTCGCAGAGGGTCCTTACGGAGGTTATCTGGTACACAGCATCATACTAGGCTCTGACACCGATGTAAACTTTGTGAGGTGATGTGTGACTACAGATGTACTTAGATTGTAGAGCTGTCTTTAAGACCAGAAGCTTGCTGGGTCAGTCTCCCTGCTTCCTTGTGTTCTGCTGACTCAGAAACTTCTTTCACATGGGCCTTCCATCACCCCAGTGAAAGGGTTGTAGGGGTGTGAATTACTTTCCAAAATACCATAGCTCAGCTGACAAAAATTTATTGTCTCAAGTTCTGGAGGTTAGAAGTCCGAAATGTAGTTGTCAGCATGTTTGGCTCCTTGAGGGCTGTGAGGGCCTATTCCAGGCTCCCTGGCTTATAGATGGTCATCTTTTCCCTGTGTACCTTCCGTTTTTCCTCCACATAGTGTATTTCTGTGTTTTTATTTCCTCCTTTTATAAGACACCAGTGGTATTAGGTTAGGGTTCACTTAGGGATCTGGTTTTAATTCCTATCTCTAAATAAAGTCACATTCTGAGGTCCTGGAGTTCAGGAAATCGACATATGACCAGGAGGAACACATTCAATGTAAACAGAGTGGTTCCCCTTCAGAGGGCTGGGCTACCTAGGCCATTCTTCTAAGGGAACCAGGGCAGGGAACCTGAGGAATATGAGCTCTTATTATCCCGGCTTTGAGTTCTTCCCTTGCAATACAGTCTTTCCGAATGCCCCACGACGTGGCAGTTGAATATTTTACTATCACCAGAAATCATCTGTATGAAGATACAGAAGCATGTGTCTGTTCTCACAGCATCCCCGAATCTGAGCCTGTGTCTGGCCATTCCCCCATCCCACATGCACAAGTTACACCTTACTCCTTGACCCTAAGTATAGACAGTAAAGTACCAGCCTCCACTTGCTGGGAACATATTACCTGATGGGCTATGTGCCAAGATCTTTACAGATTTGGGGTTGTTTTCATGATGTCACTGCATCTTTTCTTCATGTGCCAAGGAGGTAGTAATGGCATTTCAGTTTCATAGATGAGGTTAAGTTGTAAAAAAAATTAAGTGACTTGTCCAAGATTTAGGTTTATCTCTTCATTAAATGAAGTACCATACCCACCATACTTTTTCATTTATCAGAAATGGAGTGCCACTCGTGGCAAGAAAAGAGGAGGAGGAAATTTGACATGGCTGAATAGAGGAGGAGGCCATACTCTTAAGTGAAATAAATCGGATGCACATGTGTCAATATCGTATTGTTTCTCCAGTGTGAGAAGCTGAAAGGGTAAATAAGGACAAAAATGTGTAATAGATATTGTGAAATAGGAAGAAAATATTCAAATGGGAAGGGGCACAAGGGAGGGCAGAGAGGGAAAGGAAGGAAAGGAAAAGAAAAAAATGAGAAAAGAAAGATAAAAGGGAAACCCAGCTCTTGTAGATAAGAAGGGGAAGAGGGTAGAAGGGAGGGAGGGGCATGGGAAAAATACGAAGCAAGATCTATCATGTACAGGTACAAATTCCCTACAATGAATGTGATCATTACATATACCTAAATTGTACCAATACTTAATTAATAATAAAATTTAATAATAAAAAAGAACAGAGACTAAGGAAGGAATGTCATGAGTCTTCAGGCTGAGGAGCAACATCCGCGCTTAGGAAGGGTGCCCTGTGTTCACAGCAGCGTATTGACAATAGTCAAAAAGTGGAATCAACCCCATTACTCACCAGTGGATGAATGGATAAACAAAATGTGGCGTATAGCCTAAGGGAGTACTATCCAGCCTGACACGGGCTACAGCATGGATGAGCCTGAGGACGTCATGCTGAGTCAAGGAGTCATGGGGGGAAAATATTGTGTGATGCCGCCGAATGCCTAATGTCCTCAAACTCACAGAGACCAAAAACAGAAGGGCTGAGATTGGGCCACATGGGGAGGAAACAGATTTAGGGTTTACTGAATAGAGAGCTTCGGTCAGGGTTGAGGTGCTTTGTAGGTGGATGGGGGTGGCGGTTGCACGGAGCGTGAATGACTCAGTGCCATCAAACTGATTAAGATGGCAGTTTTATAATCTATGTTTACCACAATTAAAAATAGTAGAAAGGAGGAAGGAAGGAAGGGAGGGAGGAAGGAAGGGAGGAAGGAAGGGAGGAAGGAAGGGAGGAAGGAAGGGAGGGAGGAAGAGCAGACAATAACTTCAGCCCCTACTCAACAGTTTTGAAACCAGATTTCCTTGCAATGACATGAAAGGTCTTTTGATCCACTCACTCTTAAAGGTCAGGAAGAAACCTTGAATTTTTATAGGACAGAGGAATCTTGAAACTGAAGCATAGTTTTCAACCTGTTTCTGTGTAACGTTAGTAAACCCCTAGGTAATAAATTGCCATTTCGTTTAAAGGATGTCCGTGACCCTTGGTAGGCATGGGCTTGGCTGGATTGCACAGCACCTGTAAGGTGTGCTCTCTGGGACCCCTCACTCAGGGAGACTTGGTCTTTTTCCAGTCTTGCACAGGTGAGTCCAAGCAGGACGAGTGATGACAGGGAAGGTAACTGTGAAAGGACCGAAGGAATATCCTCCGGCTCAACCCTGGCTGCAGAATGAAGGGGTGCTCAGAAGAAGGGTGGGGCTCGCTCTTGATCAGCTCCCTGTTCCTGACCAAATGCGGGCACAGAGCGTGCAGGACCATGGCCCTCTGCTCTTCTTTTCCTGTTTGCTCATATCATCTTCTACAGATGAAGTCAGGGAGATTATGATAAAAGGTAAATCTAATGACACTATCCCTCCCTTGGAATCCTGCCTGCCTCCCCATTCCCGGAACATGGCAAAGCCCAGAGAATCCATGCCCACACCTGCCTCCCAACCATTCACCCAGTCGTCACCCTGACACCCTCTCACTCAGGATGCAGAGTCTGCGACGCCCACCTCCCCACTTCAGCAGATGGTTCTCTGTCCTCAGTGCATACTCCTCCATCTCAGCCTACCCACCACTTCTGGCTCAGTTTAAATCTCCCTTCAGCCATGAGCCTTCTGAAATCTTAGTGAAAAGAAGCTTCTCTGTCCATCTTAGTCCTGCAAGCGGACTGACTGGTTGTGCTGTGATTGCTAATCTCTAGGTATGGAAGGGGGACCCCACGGGAGTTGGCCAGTGCCTTTGTCTTTGAAGTCCCAGGCCCTAGCATGGCTCCTGCTTTCAAATGGGATTCAATGAAACACGTTGTGCCAGATGATTTCGCTTCTCCTTTAACCCTTACAAAGCTCTGTTGATTCCTCTATGGACAGCAGGGTCAAATCCACCTAGCCAGGTGCCCTTGAGCAATGCTGGTATGTCTTGCAGGAGGCCATGTGGCATTGATTCTAATCCTCAGTTTCTTCTTTGGTAAAAGGAAGTGGCTGCACTAAGTGCAGTAAGAACAAATACTGACTTTGCCATTATTATTTAGAATGCTTCTCAAAGTACAAAAAAATCTAAATTTCTAGAGACAGTTACTTTGGCTTTCCTTTTTCTAGAGTAACTGAGTTCTTACAAATCAAGCAATTCAGAGAAAAATAAAACCAAATTCAGATGGACACACAAGGCAGACATCTCAGTCTAGACAGTAGTTGGTGATTAACACTTGAGAACCCATTCTGGAAATTCCCGGGATCCTTCTTTTTGCAGAGACCTTGAAAGCCAGTGGCAAATCAATAAGTACAGCTATTAAATTTTTATTAGGCTGTCAGCCTTGTGTATCTCCTCCAAAACGTCTAGCCCATAAGCACATTCTTCAGTTCTCTTCAGCTGATTTGATGCAATTTTCTCCAAAGCTGCTCAGTTATATTTAATGTCCTTGTTATACTATGTCCAAAAAGTGAGGAAAATAATGCAGAGCAAACCATTCTAAAATGAAAGGCAGTAAAGGGTAAAATAATTGAGATTCTGGGTCCTCAAATAACTAACAAAGCAGAGTGGACCTCACATTATGTAGCATCTATCTGAAGCATTTTATTTCTAAACTTTACAAAGAAATAGGAAACTCATTAACTTTTACAACCAGGCAAAAAGGTAATAGCATTTGTGGCTACGGAGATGTAATTGGGCTTTTATTTAAATGTAGCAGGGAGTTTGTGCTCATTACAGGAAACAAATGAACAATAACAAATCACCCGATGGATTCATCATCCATGTGGCGTCAGTGCTGATGGACCCGGAGACTTGTCCAGTGCTGCGTCCTTGTGTTGCCATAAAGCCACAGAGCGAGGGCCTAATGGAAAGCAATCTTCTGAAACTGTGAATAGTAACAGTAATTATATTCATCCTGGTAATAATAAGACAGAAAATAGTCCCTCTCCATTGTGAATCATCAATGCAATACTTACTTTTGTGATGGGAAATTACCAAATTTGATCACCCTCCTGTCTTGTTATACCTCCTTCCCTGGCTCTCACTTGTTTTCCTCTCAGCCTGACAATTTATTCTTACCCTTAGGACCCTTCTGTCCAACTAAGAAGGTTCAGAGGACCACGGGAAGAACAGATCTGAGAGGTCTCGTAGCAGGTTCACACAGACTCTTAATAGGTCAGCAAGGTGAGATGAGTCTCTAACATGTCCCCTGGTCTTCTAAAAACATGTCAAAGTAGTAAGCGTTGAGTCCTCTTTTTAAAAAAATTCGTAAAACTAGCAGTGTTTCTGCTTCCAATCTTATCCTCCCTCCATTTTATGTAAGGGAAATTCAAGGGGAATTTCTTCTGTTTAAAAATGTTTTTCCTTGCTTCCACTGTCCCTCAGACCCACCAACATGCACATACACAAGCAGATGGTCCCTGATTTATGATAATTGACAACGATTTTTCAACTTCATAATAATGCAGAAGTATATTCATACAAGCATTCTACCTGTCACAGTCAGTACAATATGTGATATATCACATGAGTTACTCAACACCTTATTATAAAACAGGTGGGTGTTAGATACTTTTGCCCAATTGTAGGTTAAGTGCTCTGAGCATGATAGAAGCAGGCTAGGCTAAGCCATGTCCTTCAGTGGATTAAGAATATTAAATACACTTTTGACTTATGATGGGTTTATAGAAACATAATGCTATAGTAAATCAAGGGACATCTAAACACAAAAAACAAAATAGAGAAAAGGATTCCTTCATTGTAAGTAAAGTAGGAAATGGTCACAATATCAAGGCACCTTTCTTAAGAGACAGGGATGCTACTACGGAAAGCTTAGGAAGGACTTGAGAGGGTAAGTATGGGATGGGCTTCTCAGACCAAGGAAAGAGCAGATATTGTTGGAGGATAGTCAGAGACAAATCCAAGGCAAAGCAGTAGCCATCTTCCCTGATCCATTTCCTGCCACGTCCCACCTCACCCTCGTGTACTCACTCAGTGGGACTGTGGATTATCTCCCTTCAAAGGTGCAGAGAAAAATAGCCTGGACCTGCACAGAAGAGCTGACACCAAGCAAGCAACTGGCTGCATCCACTGAATTGTTGAAGGAGAGAAAACAGGAAGGACAGAGGTATGTGAAGATGTCCATCACGGGGGCGGGGGGCAGTATTCAAGGGAACACAGCATTCTCACTGACAGTTCTTCACCTCTTCATCGCTGCCCAAAGATAGGGAAGGAAGCTATGTTCCTGCACTTGAAATAAGAGCTCGTGGAAGAGTAAAGATGTCCTCATAAGAGACCATGTGATTACAGGAGAGGCTGTGAACAGAGCTGTCAGTCCATGGGGAACAGAAAGGCAGAAGAACATTGCAGAAACAAAAACAGAGGCAGATGATATAATCAGGTCTTGACAGACAGACCTGGGGGGAAATCTTGTGAATTAAGTATTAAGAAGAACCAGAGAGGGCCGGGGATTTAGCTCAGTGGCACAGCGCCTGCCTTGGAATTGTAAGGTCCTGAGTTTGATCCCCAGTACCAAAAAAAAAGAAGAAGAAGAAGAGGAAGAAGAAGAAGAAGAGGAGGAGGAGGAGGAAGAGGAGGAGGAGGAGGAAGAACCAGAGATTTTAAAACTAAGAAAATGATGTCAGCCACGCATGGTGGTGCCTGCCTAAAATACTGAGGCTGAGTCAGGAGGATCACAAATTTGAGCCCAGCCTGGGCAACTTGGCAACTTAGTGAGACCCTGTTTCAAAATTTTTTAAAAAGCTGGGGATGTAGCTCAGTGCAAAGACCCTGGGTTCAATACCTAGTATTGAGAGAGAGAGAGAGAGAGGAAGGAGGAGGAGGAGGAAGAGGAGGAGGAGAGGGAGGGAGGGAGGGAGGAGATAGCAGGGGGAGAAGCAAGATGCAGCTCTTACCAGGTTCTTTTAAGCCCCAGCCCCGGCTGAACTGTCCACACTGTTAGCCTCGGGGAATAGGCAAATACACTGGCCCAGGCCTGTCTTGGATGGAACCACTCCACTCAGATAGGCCTCCAGATTTTCTCGGCCAGGTGCTTTGGTTTTTCCAAATATTTTCTTGACTAGTTTTCTCTGTGAAATCTTCCGGTGAGAATTCTCCCTCTTGTATTCTCAGTGGCTACATGTCAACAACTCGTCTTTAATTCGTTTCCACCTTGAAATCCCACTGTCCAGAGGTGAGGAGTGATTCCCGGATCTCCTAGCCTGTCCTTCCTACCCCTGTGCACATGGGTGAGCTTGCACTCCCCGCTCTAATGTTGTCATGCTGTGGCTTCGCCCAGTCTCTCTCCACCCTGATCCAATGACCTGACCAGTGTAGCTCTCATCTGGAGAGAGGAAACATGTTCATCCTCAATAAAACTCAAAGGAAAGCTCCCTACAATGAAAAACAGTGTAATCCATGGTGAAGTCATGGAAAATTGTACCTGGGGACAAAATATCAACATGCAAACAATGAAAAACTGCAAAGCACCCAGGAAAGAGTAGTAGATCTGAGTGCTTGGCGCTCAGTCCTTGAGAGTCAATGTCACCACCAAAAAGACTAGAACGGATTTAAATCACATAATTGATCAAATATTGATCAGGTGAGTTATAATCATTGATCAGTGTAGAGTTTGACACATATATATCATGTGAACTGTACATGTATGTACCAGATGAATTATATACACATATATTCATACTGCACACATGATATAAGAATAATTCACTGATCTATCTATTCATGCACCAAACTCCACACTCAAATTTCAGAGAATACACTGTTACTATTGCAAGATCCAGGAAACATACTCAAAATCTGACCATATAGTAATCTAAAAGAAAAACCTTAATAAATTTCAAAAATTAAAAGAAAATAGAATGAACATTTTCTAATCCTGTACCCTTAAATAGATCTTTAAAAATATTAAATACAAAAATATGACTAGAAACCAAACACTCTTGGATTAAAAGGGAAAATAAAACAAAACCATGTAAAGTAAAATAATAATGATGAAAATACACATAAAGTCCATGGGATACAACTAAAACAATGCTTAGAATAAAACTTAACAAAACAAATTAGAAGACAGCATTAGTAAGGACAAAATATACAAAATAATGAAGTAGAAATACAAAAAGAGTTAGAATTAATAATTCCAAAATCAGATTCTTAAAAAGTAAAATCCATAAGCCATTAGCTATTATAATCAAGGGACAAAACCCCCACAATCTTTTAAAATACCAAAACAGAACAATTTTTTAAAAGAAAGAATTGCTCTATTTTGTGAAAACAGATGAAAGAACTTGAATAAATTGAATGATATCCTAGGAAATCTTCAGGGGAAAATACCAAAATAATCTTAAAAAAATAGATTGAAACAGACCAATTTTCACAGAAGAGCCAGAAAAAACTGTGAGCCTAAGAAAGTTATTCAAACACAGGCCCACGCACTTTCACAGAGAAAAGTTTACCAAATTTGAAGGGCTGCATAAATGTAGCAATATTTAAACTATTCAGAGCAGAGTTTGAAAAGGACATTTTCCACATTCTTTTAATAAAAAATTATAGCAATCCCATACAAGATAGCAGAAAAGGAACAGAACCGTCTTTATTATAAAAGTAAATATAAATCTCTTAAATAAAACATAAACCAATAATATGGTATTATTCCAGTAAGACCAGGATGGCTTAATATTTCAAAACTTGTTTATTTACTTCATTATATGGTCACACTATGCATTATATTAAATAAAAAATAAGGAAAGAAATTCTATAGGATCATCTTGACAAATGCTTGGAGGAATTTTTAATTACCTTCAACATTCATTCTTGATTTTACAAAAGAACTATTTTAAAAATCATGATAGATGGAAACTGTATGTGTGTATACATTCATTCATTCACATAAACCAAAGTCCATCATTATGCCTGATAGAATATCAGAAGCATTCCCAAAGGAAACTGGATTAGGACAGTAAGCATCACTGTAAGTGTTGAACATTGCTGTGGTGGTACAAGCTCAAAAATTTTGGAAGAAATAAGGCATAGAGAACTTGGAAGGTAGAGGTAAAGTATCTTTGCTCATAGTTGATATGAACGAGTACCTGGATAACCCGAAAGACTCAAATGTCATAAGACAAACAAGAGAACTCAGTAAAGAGGCAGTGTACAAAATTAATATACAAAAGTCATAGCCATGCACCTAACAATCAAAACTGATTGTTTTGACAAACAGAAGAGTAGACAGCAGAAAATACTTATCCTGGATTTTAATTAAGAAATTCATAAGATCTTGGATTAACTGAAAAACTCTTGGATTAAAAGGGAAATCAAAACTATATGAAAAAGACTATAAAATGCTATTGAGAGACTTTAAAGAACTTTTAAACAAATGGGAAGTCATATACAACATTCTTAGATTAAAAGACAATAATTATATGTGAATTATTCTCACATTAACCTGTAATTAATTGAGATCCAGTTAAAGCACTAATAAGGTTTTCTTTTCTTTTCATTTGAAGGCAGACAAGTTGATACTAGGATTTAAAGAGAAAACATACAAGGAGGGAAATGTTAGATATGAAGGATAGTAAGAATAGAAAGCATATTCAGATATTAGAATATACAAATGTAAGTATTCACGGATTTAAAAATTGTATTACTGGTATATAAATAAAGAAATCAATTAAATAGAATGAAAAATCAATAAATAGAATGCAAAATGTAAGGGCCCTTAATCAACTCTGATGGTAACAATTCAAATGAATGAGAAAAAAATAGGTTATTCAATATTTGTTGTTGACAGTTTGCATCTATCTGGAAAAAATAAATTGCAGCCCTAACTCCAACTAAATAAATCCTACATAATCAGTTTCAAATCTTAAAAGAAGAAACATACTAGGAAAGCAAGAATATTTTTCATTAAGAGGTAGAATCGGGAAGGCGTTTAAAACTAGTACATAAAACTCAAAGGTTTAAGACTATTTGATCAAGTGATCTGCACAAATATGATATATTCTGCTTGAAGCTAAAGGATAATTAAAGTTGTAAAAATTAGGTGCAAAATATTTGTTCCTTATACACCTGTAAAAGATATTATATATTCCCTTAGCAGATATGAGTAACAAAGTATCTACTAAAAATGAGTAAGAGACAAGAAGAAACATCGCCATCGTGCAGAGGGAAAGAATGCCTAAACCGGTGCACTCTTCATGGGAGGATTCAAATGAAAACCAAGGACAGCTTCTATTTATCAGACTTGATAAGCAGTTGAAGATACGTTTCATATATGGCCGGTGGCAGTGCAATTTGTTCCAGCTCCCATGGAAAAATAAGGTTCTGTCTTACCAAAAATGAAGGGCCAGGGATTTAACTCAGTGGTTCCAGCACCTGCCTTGCAAGCACAAGGTTCCAAGTTCAATCCCCAGTACCAAAAAAAAATAAAAATAAAAATAAAAGTTCACATACTCTTTGACTAAAACAGCTACTGTTGATAAACTCACCACTGATTCAATGAGGCATGAACATGATTATTTACTAGCATGTGGTTTGTCATGGGAATAGAGACATTCCCTGACTTCTGATGGTTTGATTTACTGTTTTCAACTTTATTACAGTGCAGAGGCAATATACATTCAATTGAAATCATCTTGAAATTTGAATTTTGATCTTTTCTCTGGCTGCGGATGATTGGCTGGATGGGTCTGGTGATAATGAGCACCAGCAGGGGCCTCGGTTCAGCAGTAGCCACCTGCCAGGAAGGGAAATGACGGACACTCTGCTCTGCAGTGTCCAGTGTTGCCAGCATTTTTAGGTGTTATGTTTTGTGTTTTCATATCTCATCAGGTCTACAAAACATTCATCTGTGTCTGTACATGAGATAGCCAAAACTTTACTGTAACATAGGCTTCATGTTAGATGATTTGCCCAACTATATGATGACAAAATTGTTCTGAGAAAGTTTAAGGTAGGCGAGGCTAAGCTATGATGTTAGGATATTACAAAAGGACTGCTTTAAAAATCATGATAGATGGAAGTTATATGTGTAGGTATTTATTCATTCATTCTTATAAACCTCAAATCCATCATTATAGACTGATATCCTCAAATCTTATGGACTGAAATCTCCAACACTGGGAGCTAAACAAAACTTTTATAATTTGATTATCTTGGGTATTTATTATAGCAATGAAAAGCTGGGTAACACCATCAGACAGGACCCTGAAGCAGCTGAGGTCATTGAGGCCTTAAATTCTGATTTTTCTTGGCCAACTGAAGCAGGCTTTTCACTCCCAGTAGAAATGGCCTCTTGATCCCCATCTCAATTGATCCTGAATTACCCGAGCAAACTGTAATCTGTCCTCCAAGGCACGTGCTTCTAAGGTAATTCTGATTTTCTTCAGAATCCACCTACACTATCCCTCTTTGCCTGTAGACCTGTAACCTTGCTCAAGTTCCAAGAGTCCCCAAAAGGTGAGACACAAAGTGTACAAAGTGATCTGTGACAAGCTGTGTCAGACACCAACCAAATTAGTTGTTTTCTAATTTATACTGATCAAAAATTGGAAAATATATGTGAGAGGAGTTATTCCGTGTTTAGGCTAATAGAGAAAGGAACACGAAGTTTGATCAGGCTGAATCTAGTCACACAGGCCCACTAGGAAGGGATTCATGATGCAGTTCGGAAGCAAGAAAGGGCTCTAAGAGTTTGGCTGGCTGGTTGGAGGAAATACGGACCAAAAGTGACCCATAGTGAGAGAGTCAGAAATGCCAGGGACACCTGGTTTAATGGAGGAGAAGAAGGGATTTTAAGGCAAAAAGATTGGAATGTTAGATAGAATGGATTTGTAATGTAAGACTCACTTCCACACACCTTTCACCATGATTGTGAGAAGTAAATTTGTGGAACAAGCCCAAGATCCTTGAAGTGCTCTGTTTTTGTTTTTTTTTCTATAAGCCAGATCTCCTAATGGGAATTATAGCTGCAGAATTATAAAACTGACATGACCGGAGTAATGGGATCTCCAGGTAGAAGTGAGGTAGATAGAAGAAATAAAAAACAGGCAGAAAGGAGACAAAGCAATTAAGATTTTAAAATTGTAATTTAAAAACAAACTGAAGCTTCAGAGCTCAAAAGTTTTCAAATCTTTTGCCCTTCCAGGAATCTCACTTAAAAAAATTCTTAAAGGTTTTAAAGACACATTGAGCCTGTAAATTGAGCCCTGGACTTGTCCTTTTCACCTGTAAATTGTGTTTCCTCCATCCTCGAGGAAGTAACAATATTAGTGAACAGCATAGCTCAACCTCAAACGCATGTTAATGGCTTGCATTCTGGCATAGCCTGCCAGATGGGTAAACTAATAGACAGTGGGAATACAACAGATATCAGCCATCCTGAACACATCCCAAGACCCATACATACACTCAATTCTGGCTCATAATGCGTCTCTTATTGAGGGCCCATAGTATTTCTTTTAGTGAGTGCTTTTGAATTTCTCCCTAATGAATCCTTCCTGTGGCTCTTACTGACATGTTCTGAAAATTCTTTTTCCATGACAGGAGTCAATGAACCACCAAACAGTCTATCTTTAGGGTGGGTTAAGTTCTCACCTCAGCTTTGGAAGCCTCTCAGGGCCAGTCCAGTGACAGAAGGGTCAAGTGACAATACTTAACCACTAAAAGCCAGGTGGACATAGCTGCCATAGTGGACAGCCGAGGCAAAGCAGCTATCAGAATAGTCAGGCTGGTGTAGCTGTGCGCATTCCCTAGTTAGTCATGGCGCTCCTAGGAGTGAAACAGAGAGGCAGCCTCCCTCATTCTTACTTGATCTGTGTAAGCATAAAAGTTCTAGTTAATATGAGCAAAATTTTAACATGAATCATAAAAACAGAGTCACAACTGCTCAGTCATCCCAAGACTCGAGCCAATTTAGAGACTCATTAAATGGAGCAGAAGCTGGGTATCCTTGAGGAAAGACTTCGGAACGCAGCCAAGAATTTATAGTTAATTTATCCCAGCCTTCACCTAAGGTACCGATTGCTTTTTACTAGGGTGTCTATGGATTGGAAAAGAAAACAATCAGTTCTGGGACACTCAGACAATCAGTACTGGACACTGACTAAACTGACCCTAATTCAGAAACACAAAATGTTATACAGGTCAATTTATCAGTGGAGTTTTAGCTCACCTGATTTACACTAGGTTCTGGGAATCCCTGAACTTTTACTGTGCTTATTCCCCAGTTCCAGAATGCATAACAGAAAAAGACCTACTGAGTAACTGATAGAACCCCCACCCTGGTTACCTGACCTGGAGAGTGAGGGCTACTATTGTGAGGAGGGCCATGAGGAAGCCACGGGATTTACTGTACCCCAAAGTCAGAAAACTGAAAGCAACACTGCATTCACAGAGGGATTGTAGCACCTAGTCCACCATGAGGACTTGAAGATGCAGGGTGGTGCTTCCCATTACACCTCCATTCAACTATGCCATTTGGCCTGTGCAGAAGACAGATGGATCTTACAGAATGCTAACACATTATCATGAGCTTAATCAAGTGGTGACTCCAGTCCTAGTTGCCTTGGCAGATGTGGTTTCATTGTTTAAGCAAATTAACACATCCCCTGGTACTTGGAATGTGTTAATGGCCTGGCAAGATGCTTTTTTCTCCATATCTGTTGGAAACAACCACTAGAAGCAGATTTATTTCAGTTGGCAAAACCAGTAATATAACTTGAGTGTCTTAACTCAGTGGCATATCAGCTCTCCAGCCCTGTGTCATAATTTAGTTTGCAGGAAACTTATCTCTTTTTCTTTCCACAAGATATAATGCTGGTACATTTCACTGATGACATTGCTGTTTACCCAGGGATTAAGAAATAGCCATTACTCTCCACTTATTAGTAGTACAGTTGGCTTTTAGAGGATTAGAAATAAATTTGACCAAAATCCAGGGGTCTACTACCACAGTGAAAAGTGTAGGCAAGATGAGATGTTCCTTGTATCTGACTCCTCCTACAACCAAGAAAGGGACACAATATCTAGTGGAAATCCTTGGATTTTGGAGCAACACATTCCTCATTTAGGTGTGTTACTCTGTCCTGTAGGTGGAGTGGCTTGAAAATATGCTAGTTTTGAGACTGGCCTGGAACAGGAAGACTCTTCAGTGCTCTATCCTGCTGTTCAAGTTGTTCTGCCACTTGGGGCCGTATGACGCAGCAGATCCAAGGATATGTAGATGTCAGTGGAAGAAAAGGATGCTGTTTGGAGCCTTTGGCATCTCTCACAGTGAATCACAGTACAGGCCCTTAGGATTTTGAACAAGGCCACCACATTCTGTGGATCTCTCTCTCTCTCTCTCTCGCTCTCGCTCGCTCTTTCTCTCTCTCTCATAAATAGCTTTCCACTTGCCAGGGGGCCCTCATAGAGATTGGACACTTAACCATGACCACCAAATTAACATGAAACCTGAGCTGACTATCATGGACTGGGTGCTCCCTTCCTCTCCAAGCCAAGAGCTGAATGCTTATGACCCTCCTTTATCAAACAGAAGTGGTATGTATAAGACCAAGTCTGAGCAGGCCTTTGAGACAGAGTTAAATCATCAGAAGAAGTGGGACAAGAGCCCCGGGTGCCCACTCCAACTGCTACACTGCCTTCTTTCCCCCAACTGGCACTTACACTATCATGAAGATTTCCTTAAAATCAATTGTAGAAGAAGACAAGTCTCAGTGTTGGTTTACAGATGGCTCTCCATGATATGCAGGCGTAAATCAAAAGTGGGCAGCCAGAGCCCAACAGCCCCTCTCTGAGACATTCCTGCAGGACACTGGGAATTCAGGCAATGCAATAGGTTGTATACTTGTTTGCAAGTAGAAATGGCCACTGTGTGATTAGGAAGCAATTCATGTGTTTTTGAGGGTGGCTGGGCTGAATGGTCAGGGAATAGGGAAGAACATGATGGGGAGATTGATGACAGGGAAGAGAAATGTGATAAGCCTTTCTGATGGGAAAATCATGGGTATATTTGCATTCTGTTTCAATGCTTATCAAAGGGCAGTCTCAGTAGAGAAGTTTAATAATCAAGTGGGTAAGATCATTTATTCTGTGGATACAATTTCTTTCCCCTTCCATACTGTCATCACTAATGGGCTCATCCATTACATATGGAATCAGAAACACAGACTTCCATTCACTGAGCCTGACCTGACTGTGGCCACCTCTGAGTGTCAGTAGCAGAGACCAACACTGATAGCTTGGTATAGAATCACTCCCCAGGGTAATCAGTCAGCTACCTGGTGCAAGTCAGTGACATTAAATTGCATCCATCATGAAAGGAGCAGTAGTCTGCTCTTACTGAAATAAACACCCTAGATTTGCATTTGCCTTTGCTGCATGCAATGCTTCTGCCAAAACTACAATCCTTGCACTAACAGAACGGCTTATCTACCACTCTGGATTTCCTCACAGCATTGCTTTTGAGCAAGGAACTCACTTCACAGCAAAGTGTGGTCAAGAGCTTTTGCTGAAAGAATTCATGGATCTTACTATGTTTCCCACCATCCTGAA